TTTGCTAGTTTGAACTGCATAAAATGGCTGTGTTTTATTCTGTAGAGAAAGTCAAAACTGAGTTTGAAAGCCAACCTCTGAGAATGTGTGCTTGAATATACCTGTAGCATGGACTTTTTTTGATGCCCAGAAGAGTATCTGACAATGTATTCAGTGGACCTTTGTAGGACAGTACAAGAGAAGTTGGTGGGTTGTCCTTGAGATAATGAAAAGGGTATGTTCAGGAGTGCTTCATCTGGCCAGAATCTATACAGCTAACCTTATTTTTAAAGGAGTGGAAAGGTCCCAAAATGTCTTTGTACAAGCAAGAGAATTATTTGGACCTCTGAAAGCTTCCAGAATTTAAGAGTGCAGTGGATTCTATGTCATTCATTGTTTTTAAATAAAGTTAATGTGTCTACAAACATCCAGCCTATGGAGCTATTCCATCTGATCCACTAGCCTACCAGTGGGCCAGAGAATTTTGGGCTGTGGCTAGTGGTGAGCATGGCCTGCTGCAGAATCTGTTGCATAGGGGCCTGAGTGAATATAGCCATTGGTGGTAGGGAAGGTATAGCCAAGGGTGGTAGCAGGCCTGGCCTGCTGCTGCTTGCACCCCTCCACCACAGCAAATACATGCCTGGCCTGCTGCTGCTTGCATCACTGTCATGGTGGTGGCCACTGTAGTGGCCACAACTATGACCTCAGGTCCTGGGCTGAATCTGGAGTATTCCTCAGGCCCATGAAGAGCCCCTTGGTGTGGGTTTGACACCCCTGATATACCAGATCCATTTTTTGCTGCTACAACGTGGAGCTCTGTTTCCCCTGTAAAATGCGTTGAGTTTTCATTGGCAGGCAAGGTTTTTTGGGTAGATTAGACCAACTGAGTAGTTGGAAAAAAGTTCTTAGCAAGTAAAGTTTTCATCATCCTTTTTGCTTAAATCTCATATTTTCTCTTGGGGAGAATGCCTTGCGTCTTCTTATTTGCAGCAAAATTCCTCTCTGGATTGGTTGAAGACCAGACATTCCCTCTCTATCAGTATTAAACCATACGATCTTCCTGCTACCCATAAAGTATTTGAATACCCTAGATTACTATGACCCCATTTAAAATGAAATGAGTTCCAGCACTTACTTTTAATTCCTCATCTTTCCTATGGTGCCATCTGGTCTGGCTCTTCTCATGTGATACAGCACACTCTGGATACCATGTTCAGTTTCTATCCTCCCTTAAATATCATGTTTTATTTTCTTTGCGCTTCTGTATGTTTTCAATTTGAAATTATACCTACACTGTCCAATTTCTCTACTTTTCACAAATTCCTGTAATCATAGAATCATAGAAGTAGGGTCGGAAGGGACCTTGTAGATCTTCAAGTCTGACCCCCTGCCTGGGCAGGAGGAAAAAAACTGGGCTCAAATGATCCCAGCTAGGTAGGCATCAAGCCTCTTCTTAAAGACCCCCAGGGTAGGAGCCAGCACCACTTCCCTTGGAAGTTGGTTCCAGATCCTAGCCGCCCTAACTGTGAAGTAGTTTTTACGGATGTCTAATCTAAACCTACTCTCCAATAACTTGTGGCCGTTATTCCTTGTTATGCCAGGGGGTGCTAAGGGAAACAAGGTCTCTCCCAAACCCTTGTGGTCTCCCCTAGTGAGTTTATAGACAGGTTCCCCCTCAGCCTTCTCTTGTGAAGGCCGAACAGATTCAGGTCCCGCAGTCTCTCATTGTAGGGTCTGCCCTGTTGTCCCTGGATCATGCGGGTGGCCCTCCTCTGGACCCTCTCAATGTTGTCCACATCCCTCCTGAAGTGGGGCGCACAGAACTGGACACAGTACTCCAGCTGTGGCCTGACCAGTGTTGCATAGAGGGGGAGGATCACTTCCTTGGCCCTACTTGAGATGCACCTGTGGATGCACGACAAGGTCCGGTTAGCCCTGCCAACCGTGACCTCGCATTGTCGGCCTATGTTCATCTTGGAGTCAGTAATGACTCCAAGATCCCTTTCTGCCTCCATGCTCTCAAGAAGGGAGTTTCCCATCTTATAAGTGTGCTGCTGGTTACTACTGACCAAGTGCAGCATCCTGCATTTGTCAGTATTGAAACGCATCCTGTTTTTGTTAGCCCACCCCTGTAACCTATCCAGGTCTTGTTGTAGTCTTTCCCTCCCTACTAGCGTGCTCATCTCACCCCAAATGTTGGTATCATCAGCAAATTTAAACAGGTTGCTTTTTATCCCCGCTGGTAAAGAAATTGAACAGCACGGGCCTAAGGACTGAGCCTTGGGGGACACCGCTGCCCACTTCCCCCTAGTCAAATATGACCCATCCACCACCACCCTCTGAGTGCGACCCTTCAGCCAATCTGCAATCCATCCGACTGTGTAGGCATCAATGCCACAGTCGCCTAGTGATTCTTCCCTCTTCCACACATCACCTCTTCCTTCCATACCTCAGTCTCTTATCCCCTAGAACCACTTGAACTGTTTTCTCTCTTTCCTCATACTCATCTCATTCTTTTTTCCTCACGCCGAAACATCTCCTACTATCCTCCCATTCTGCAGATCTTCCAGTCTCTTTTCTGAGATTTGTCTCCCATCTCATGTCTTCATTGCACTACAATCTGTTTTTCTTTCTCCACATTCCCCAGCCAGTCAGTAAACTTATCCCAAACCAATGCACTTTCTTCATTGTTTCTAATACTTAATTCTGTTTCTATTATACTGATGTGTTCCTCCTATCCAAGTCATCCAGCCTCTTTTCTACCTTCTAAACTTACTTATTTTCATAAATAGGGATCCTAGAAATCTGTTTACCATGGAAAAATGTGGAATTTGCATTTTTACAGAAAATCTTTAGAATTGCTAGAAAAAAATGTATTGAAAATAAAATGCTAGCTTCCCAGTAGGAGCCAGTGGTTCTCATAGCTGCTGTGACAGGCCATTCAAAGAAGCTGCCAGCACACAGGGAAACAGCCAAGATGGTGCATTCTTCCCCCCCTCGGTTGCTGATTGGCCGAGAGGGATGTCCATCATTTGGCCCTGCCCCTCTGCAGCAATCAGTGGTGAAGGGTGCAGCCATGTGAAGGGCAGCCCTCTTAGCCAATCAGTGGTGAGGGGTGGAGCCACCACTGGGGCCCCTCAGCCAATCATTGTTGTAGGGGGTGGGGAGGCTCACCACAGAAAAAGGTAGATTTTTATGGTATTTTATTGGAGAACTTTGGGGTTTTTTATCATGGAACACTCCCTTCCCTGTTTATCACTGTGCCTATACTATCTCCTCTCCTTTTCCAGCCTCCTCCCTTCCATTTCTTTCTAATGTCCTCAGTTTCTTGTCCTTTTCATAATACATTTCTCACTTCTCTTTTGTAGACACCTAATTCTCATCTCCTTCTCTTCAATGACCCGTTTATATTTTTTTAAATGGTGTGAGTATTGAATGGAGTGCTTCACACTTTTTCAAGAATCACAATGAACAACATCTGTGATTCATTCATTTCCATTTCCCATCTCTGTCAGAAGATTCCCATACCCTATGATTTTGGTTAATAAATGTATTTTGCACAATTAACTTATGTCTACCAATGTTTCCAAGAAATATACTGTGCACAAAGATTTGCTCTTTACGGTCGTCTTGTTTAGTGACGTATATGTTGAAAGATAAACATCAAGTAGGAATTTCAACTGGAATTCTGCTATTGTACAGCATTATCTTTTTAAAATTGGATTACAGCAAGGTATTGCAACATAAATTCACAATGTAATTCTTTATCACAATACTTGCATCTTAGAGGTATTAGGGCTATTCAGTCTAAGTGGCAGTCTAAATTCACTTCATCTTTTGATAGGTATGAACAAATCATGAGAGCAAATTTCTGGTTGCTGTATACCTACCTTAATGGCTTTTGTAATTATTCCATTTTTGCTTTTCCTTTCGTGGGTGGAACTTAGCTAAGTTTTCTGAATTAATGTAGGAAGCTAATAATGATGAAGAAAAATGAAATGTTGAATAACACTGTGCCCACTATAACAAAAGCATGTTAAACATTCTTGTGACACTAAAGTAATCAGTGTCTGTTCTGCTTGTCTCACTTAAATATTTACTGTAGATTATTGTAAACCTAGTTTCCCCACAGCCTTGGATTCACCTGATAAGGAGTCTTTAGACTCTAAATGTCTCATTTTTAAAGGTGTGGACAACTCATTGCTCCCATTAAAGCCAATAAGTACTCATCTAATACCTCATCCTTTCAGGGTTGTTACTTGTAGGTAATTGACCATGTTCTCCCATATTTGTGGATTGAATTTATTTGATGTTACCTACAGCACTGACTTGATGTTATCTTACTCTGCCATTTCTCCTCTGGTTTGACAGGGAAAGAGTATCTCTTTATTAAACCAGTTTTATGCTGAAATATATGACCTTTTAACTCCTTCAACAGTCAGATAAGTGAAGTAAGAGCCAGGGATGTAACCTTCATCTTCCGATTCCTGGTTCTGTATCTTATAGTTTCCTAGCTGATAGGGTTGGAAGGGACCTGAGCAGATCATCAAGTCCGACCCCCAGCCACGGGCAGGAAAGAATGCTGGGATCAAATGACCCTGACAAGGTGATTGTCTGGCCTCCTTTTGAAGACCCCCAAGGTAGAAACGAGCACCACTTCCCTTGGAAGTTGGTTCCAGATCCTAGCCGCCCTGACTGTGAAGTAATGCCTCCTGATGTCTAGCCTGAACCTACTCTTGATCAACTTGTGGCCGTTATTCCTAGTTACTCCGAGTAGTGCTTGGGGGAACAGGGCCTCTCCCATTCCCCACTGATCCCCCCCTGGTAAGTTTATAGATGGCCCCTCTCAGTATTCTTTTGTGGAGGCTGAACAGGTTCAGGTCCTGTAGCCTCTCCTCGTAGGGCCTGCCCTGCTGCCCCCTGACCATGTGAGTGGCCCTCCTCTGGACCCTCTCAAATCTTCAAATTTATGAGCTCACATTATTAACATAAGCCTAAAATTCTCATTCTTTATCTTTCAGACAGAAGCAGTCTCCTCCAGCCAAGAAACCAGCAAAAGTATTTCACAATGGATATCGATGATGAAGAAAACATGAGTAAGATGTGTATATTTACATAATAATAAGCCATAAAATAATTTCTACAGAAGACATTTTTTTCACTGCACACAGGTAGCCATACAGAAATTATATGAATACAGATTGGAGAGAATTTCTTTGTGTGTATGATTCAGTTGATATACATGAGCATTAAAGAAGACTTTTCATGTTGGGAAAACTTCCAAATTTATATTATAAATGTAGAAATCCAATTATCCTCTACCTGTTATAATCCAATTCCCTCTAACTGATATTTTTATTCCAGAGCAGCTTGCTGCATCTCTGCCTGATTCCTTCTTTTGTGAACTTGTAATGAAGTCATAATGCCAAGTTTATTACATTCAGTATTTGAACATAGAAGTATTGGGTGATATGTTATATTGGTGCAACATGCATGCACATGTAGTAAAATATTGCTTCAAAGGAAAACTATTCTATATGTACAGCTGTACATGTTCTCTCAAATCTCTCTAGCTAGCCCTTGGCAGATTTTCCCACCCTGCCGAAGAACTGGAAGTGTAAGGGGGTATAGGACTATTCTGATCTCAGACTAGGTCTGGGTTAATGTAGTTAATGCAAGACCAAGCAAGCTTCCTTCCAACTTACAGGAAAAATAGAGATTTGTTCACCCCTAAAGCTGAGAGCCCTTTGTATGTTATGAGTGCAGCTCGAGCAGACTAGTCATTATGTGACGGAATGGAAATAAAGTTCATGGCTGGTATTGGGAACAGTATATTCAAAACTCAAAGGCCTGTCCTGAGTCTAGGTGCTGGGTCAGGCTTGCATTGTTAAGGCACGAAAGCGTCATGTAGCAACTTTCACATCCAGCTGATTTGGACCAGTTCCCTATTTACAGCTGGGTCAATGAGGGGTGGCTTTCAGTCCAATTCTGAAGCTAGGTTTACATCAGCATCAGAAGCAAGACATCTTGATTGCTCTGCTACTATGTATTTAATAGGGGTATTAAGGTGCAGAAACAAGTAACTGAAGGAAGAAAAATTTTTTGGGAGACTTAGACATGCAAAGGGTTTGGGGAAACAGACAAATGGAAAGGATCTGGGCAGAAGAGAAAAGGGAAAAAATTGGGGAAAGACTAAAGAGTTTAAGTTTGTGAAACAGAAGAGGGAGAAGGAAAAGAAACAGGAAATATAAGTAGGGACGTACTTAATGCATGATTTTGCAGGTTTCACAGAAACTGCGAAATTGGGCATTCTCCATGAAATCCACAAAAAAATCTTAAAAATAAATGGCAACCTCTGGTGTAAAGGGGATCAGCCAGGATGGTGGCCATCCTCCCTCCCTGCCAATCATTGGCTGAGAAGGCGGCCCTGCCCCTTTCCACCAATTAGTGGTAAGGGGACTGCCCTCAGCCAATCAGTAGTGGGGGGTGGAGCCACACAACAGACAGCCCTCCCAGCCAGTCAGCAGTGAAAAGTGGGGCCATCAGGCCGCGTCGGCCAATCAGTGGTGAGAGGGGTAGGCTCGCTGTGAAATTCTCTGTGCACTGCTAGTGGCCCACAAAAATCCCTTTTGCTAGCTGTGACTTGGGTAGATCCTGAAGTATAAAGGGGGAAAAGAAATAGGAGGAGAAGTGGGAGACAAGGCACACCAAATGGCAGTGCTCTGGATCCCAACTATTTAAGGTAACTAATTGTTTGCATTGTTTATTTAGCCTTGCAGTGGGTGATTGCTCTTTTCCTAGCTTAGTGATATTCTGATGCATGTGCTTAACAGTGATAAAGTTTAATTAAACTAAAGTTACCTATAACTTTAGTGAGTTTCTTCACATCTAAAATGTTTTGCTGGATTTTTGTGGAAGTGCTCAGCTCCTTGCAAGATTAAGCTCTAATTTTGGAGAGAGACACTGCAGATACAGTATTATCAAAGTAAATTATTTATAAGTAGTGGTCTGCCTAACTCGAGGAGGCCACCAGCTTATTTCACAGGGAAGTTGCCGGGCTGGCCACCATATTCATGGGCAGATTGCAGTGGCCCCTGCTTCTCCCCCCCCGCCACACACATACCACTGATTGGCTGAGTGGCCCCAGTGGCCCTGCCTCTCACTGCTGATTGGCTGAGGACTGTTCATCATACAGCCCCACCCCTTGCCACTGATTGGTTATGAGGGCTATCACGCAGCCCTGCTCCTCACTGCTAGTTGGTGGAGGGGTGGGGCCATGACAGGCAGCCCTCTCAGCCAGTTAGCAGCAAGGGACAGGGATGGCAGCCATCTTGGACTGCCATTCATGCGTGCAGCTCCCCTCCATCGCAATTTCAGTACTGAACCCTATTTATAAGGTTTTAAACTTTTAACTTCCCTTACTTTTTGTGAATGACAATTAATTGCTGTATATGGGTTGCTATTGTTGTATATTATGTCTTACTGTAAATTGTTGAATATTATTTAAACGTGAACATTTGCTTACTCTCTCTGAATTCCTAACATAATATAGCATAACCCTCCCTGATGAAGATAATGCTATATAAAAATTACAGGAGATATTTTCTTTAGGAAAGGTAAAATTCAATTTGTAGAAGTCACAGTGCATTTTTATTCAGAAATCAGTTGGACTGTTAACCATTCATTAGATTAATATGCATTCTGGTAGGTTGTGTGTCTTTAATTGTAATACTAAGTTCAGTTGGTGTATACTTGGCTTCCAGTTCTATATATGTAAAAAATGTACTTTAAATAGAGAAGCCGTCTGAATCAACTAGTAAATTAAATAATTAATGCATTTCACATCTCAAACTCATTCAGGCAGCACATGTTAGGAATGGCAGTGCTGCCTCTGCCTTTCCAGTGATGTAAGATCTGCAAAACCCATATAATTTAATTTTGTGAATTTTGATAGAAAACAGTTTCAGTAGAAGTGAATGTTTCTGTGTCCTGTCATTCACTGTTGCATTGGAAGAGGGAAGCTATGACATATGTCTCCTGGGTTTATCTTTTATTTAAAGAGTAGTTTGTTTTTCAAGATTACATTGAAAACAAGGTCAACAATTTTCTAAAGATATTCCCAGCAATGTCAGCTAAATGAAATAAGAGATGCAACTGTGTTTTAAAGAAAAAGGCAAGTTTTATCTGAGTAAATCTCAATAGAAATAATTGCTTGGTAGGGTTTGGGTAGTTTCATTTACATTGATGCCTTGTAAATTTTATTCATAATATTTCATTTCTATCAACATATATACTTTAAAAAAAATAAACAAGGCATTCTTTTAATTTGTTAGGTTTTACATATTATTGTATAAAAATATTGTATCGTAGGTGATATACACAGATGTTTTATTCTAGGGTGATAGGCCTCACTTTTGCAATGAACTCTATACAAGCCCAGGAGTCTGCCTGCAAGGAGCTCATTGCAAGTGTGGGACATTAATATGTGCATGCAAGCGGATTGTCATTCACAAATCTAGTCTGAGATATGATATAAGCAAGACTTTCTGAGGGTAGGTAAGTACAGTCACTTAACCTGCATGGTATTGTAACCATAGAAGAATATGATAATAACATCTACAACAGTCTTGATGCATTTGTTCTAATGTGTATGTTTGTATGCACACATGGGATTATAAATTTGAACAGTTATGTTAAATACAGAAAAATAACTTATTTTTCTGTCTCAGATTCTGCAAAAACTAGTCCCCCACCTTTTTTTACTCTTAAATTACATGAAGCTACAGTGTGCACGGTATCCAGAAGTTGGCTATTAATGTTTATGTTGTTTCTGGAACTGTGTTCTGTGGAAATTTTGGAGGGCACAGAAAAGGGATTTATGGTAAATCACAGCCTCCAGTTATATAATCTATATCTTAAATGTAGAGGCTATAATTTAGAGTATATTGATTCCATACACTTTTGGGGCAATAATTATATTGTGCCCAAAATATGGAAAAAGGTGAAAAGTATGCCTTTTGTGATTTCATGGTAGTGATAGTACCTTTTCTATATACTTTTTCTTTCATGCACTGAAGTATAAAGTGAGCATGAATGGGAAATAAGAGTGTGAAAGCTAGAGAGAATTACAATTTAATTTAAATTTTTACTGCTTTGCAAGAAGTTTCAGTCCAGTGCTTTGAGTATCCTTGGCAATCTCTTAAAATATCTTATATAAACAAGTCCATCAATGTCTTGCTATCAAATCAGATAACCCTGCAATAGCATCAGAATAATAAAAAATAGTCCTCCACAAAATCATCACTCTGTGGACAAAGGCGAACAGAGAGACTTTGAACAAAGGAATGCTAATTGATTCAGGCAGATAGATCCTCTTGCTGCTGCCTTTCTTTCTGTTCAAGTTACTTTCCCTAAATTCACAAACATGTAGGCAGTGGTCTCGTCACTGATCCATCTATCTGTTCTGAGAAAAATCCTTTGCTAAAACTTCCCCAAATCAGGAACTGATAACTTCAGTAGTTAAGATGACATCATTTCTGCTAGCTGTGCCCCATTAAAAGAATATAGAGTACACTCAGTGAAATTTAGCTCATGAAGTCAGGACACAGATAACATTCTCTGTCAGCATTTTGACTTTGGACCAACCATCTTAATTACATATCTAATCATCAGAAACCTCACAAAAATAAATAAGCACACTTGGAGCAAATGCCTACTTAATATACCAGAATAAATTTTTTTTGGATACTCTTGATAAAGTTTGTGTCCGCAAACTTAGGAAACTCTGAAAAAGTTTGCAGTAGCAAAATTTATTTCTTTTGATGCTGAAGGTGTTAATAGTTGATTGTCAGACCTGATTTTGCTAAATTAGATACTCTAAAAATAGCTGCAGTCTCCCTTGCAAACTAGAATAGTTTTTAGTTTCTAAAAAAAGAAGTAGATTTTCTGAGAAATGTCCTGGTCCCAGGATGGCCAGGGTCACAATTTAAAATGTGGATGCCAGCCCAGCATTTTAATCTATATTTAGACTGATTTGCAAAAATGCTGAATATATACTAGGTCTCCTTGACCTCAGCTGGGGCTATGAGTTGTTCAGAGGCGTGGAAAATCAGCCAACTGAATGCCAATTCAGAACTTAATTTTTTATGTTCCTTTCTCCAAAAAAATTTAATTTTGTGGGTAATCAGAGTGGAAGGGTATGTGATCTCAGCAGGTCAAAGTTCAGGAAAACGGAGGTTAGCTTGTTCAACAAAAACTGATTTTAAAAACAAATGCATAAAAAACCAGTGCAATATTTTAACAGCTCAGGTGGAAGCAGAAATCACTTATTCTGTATTTGCTAATAATATTTTAAGAACAATATTTTTGAATGCTTGTAATTGCCATTTTGTCTTAATGTTGCACTGAAACCCAATATCTTTAAATCATGTTTAAGTTCTGATTTCGGAATCAGATTCTGAGATTTTGAAAAAAAGCTGAACTTCTACCGTATTTTCTTGAATAGAATGTGCTTCATTTCCCACCAAAATCAGCTCCCCAAAATTGGGGTGTGTATATTAATCAGGGAAATTAAGTTTCTGACTGGGGTAGAAGCACCTTGCTTTGATTCCTGCTCCACAGTGCAGCAATTTTTACGTTACTATTCAAGTAGCTGATGGAGTCAGTTGACTCAGTGGGTCATTGTTCTTTACTCCAGAGTTGTCAATGATCTTCTCTTCATTTTAATGTTCTTGATGTTCTGCTAACCAAGGTAACCTTTCTTAGGGCAGTTTTGCTGTCTCCTAACCACATCTGTCTTTCTTCCTATTTCACAGCCCTGGAGACTGTGAATCAGCTGAACCCTAATGGCCCTGCCGTTGCTCTGTGCAGCCATAACTCTGGAAAAATCTTTTATATTTTTAATGTTCTTCCTTTCAAAAATAAAAAAGATATGTATTATATTCCAAAGTGTATTGCATGAGAGAAAATACAATATTTATAGAACTACCTGAAGTCTTCAGTTTACTAGCAAATTCATTTAGAACACTGGAAGCTGAGCCTTTTTTAGGAATCTGTCTTCACCATCTTTGAGTATAATGTTAATAATAATATATACATTCTTTTTCTAGATTAAATTAGAATTAGAGAAGGTTAGATGCACATTCTCTTTTACCACTTCCCTTGGAAACTGCTTATTTTGTTATTGCTGCTTCACGCTATTGTTTTTGAACCCATACGCAAGAGATCAAATGGAGGTGATGTGGTTTTACCTACCTAATCTTTTCACTTTGGTCCAAAACTGTGGAACTAGAGAGGCTATCTGTTTCAAAGCAAGACAGCTTCAAGAAAGAAATTTCTGTTAGCAGAGTTTAAATTATTGACTTTACTTAAATATTGTCTTTACTTAAACATTGCAATGGTACAGTAAATGCAGAGCATCATAAATGAAAACTCTGTGTTCACCTTTGTGGTCCTATATATATCAAAGGCAATTATAGTTGCAATTGAACTGCAGATTTTATTTAATAAAATGAATTTTGAAAGCTCATTTTTAATGAGAAAATTCTTAATTTAGGAGTATAAATGTTTCATCGTTTAATTTTACTTTTATTCACCAATACTGTGCAGATTTTTACTGTCTTTTTCCAACTTGTTAACAAAATATATGTTTCTACTTTGGCTCTTTCTTTTGATCTTCTTTCTTTTTGAGCACCAAAAGGAGTAACCTATCGAGCTTTTGCTGGAGGATGTTATAAATGAAAATTTACTAACCGTTCCATCAGCTTTGTAAACTGGGTGAAGTGGTGTGTGCATGCTAGTCATACTTTGGGGAAAAATAATAAAAGTTTGAAATCTATCGAAGTGCCAAAAAAATTATCTATTTTGCTTTTAATTTTGCATTACTTTTCATAGTAAGATAAAATAATTTATTATTTATATTTATTTGTATCAATGAGGATGTGTTTTAGTACCAGGTATTTGAATTTTTTGAAAGAGAAATTTTAACTACTAAAATTGCCCTTTATTGCACATAAGCTTATTTAAATTCATATTCTTCATTTATAATAGTTTCCTTACTATGAAATAATGAGCTGTTAGCAATGGCATAACAATAATTCATATAACTTAATTATAGCATGCTACACCAAAGCTTATAATTTTGGAAATGTTTTCCTATTGGGTTTCAATGGGAGTTGTTTCCCACTATTGGAATGTCAGTCTGGTTGGGAAAAGTGCTCTAATTATTTGCTGGAATCTCCTAGGATTAAAATGTTAATGTTGCTAATGTGCTACTCAGCAAGTGTTCCCTTTATGAGCAGATATCAGTAATTTAAGTGAGCAACACTGGAAAAATTTATCAATCATTTCCTCAATGAGGTGCAATGCAGTGCAGATGAATATCTGTATAAGAGGAGTGTATGTATTGACCTGGATTCAAACTTTTAAACAGATGAAAAGCATATACATAAATATTTATTCACATTTAAAGCAATGGACCTATAAAAGGAAATTGTTAATTTTTCATAAAGTACTCAAACATCATACAACTGACTTCTCAATTTAAAACAAATAAATGTCTTTAGCGTGTTTAAAATAAAAAGTGCTTAAATTAAATTATAAGCTGTGTCTTACTAGTACTGGTCCCAAATGATCATTTTGTGGGTTTTATTAATAGAAGCATTTTGCAGTATAAATATCCAACATATTGTTAGGATTTTAAAATATCTTTCTGGATTTAAAACATTTTTCATAAAAAATGTAAATTAATAATAGTATAAATTTTGCATTTTTTTCCATCACAATAGTAATAGAAATGTCAAGTGAATAATTTGTGCCTCAGAATTGAACCTGATAGTTCTTGGATTACTAAAATTGTAGATTTTTGTTTGTCCTGCAAAGACATAAACTTGTGAGCACACATCACTTAACCATTTACAAAGATAGATAAAGGAATCTATAAATTTTACATTTACAAGATCCTGCAACGAAGGCATTGTAAGTTACTCTTTCTGGGCACCACAGGTTCAAGCAGCATTGACGTTAAAGAAAACCGCAACATGGACAACGTTACACCTAAGGATGGCAGTATGCAAGGTGCCGGGGAGGGAACTCAGCTCTCCAATGGTGGTGGCAACAGCAGCAGGAAACGTCCACTGGAGGAGGGCAACAATGGCCACTCCAAGTTCCGCCCTAAGAAGAGGAAGAAAACACCAGGGCCTGTTTTGCCAAAGAATGCACTGATGCAACTAAATGAAATTAAGCCTGGTTTACAGTACAAGCTTCTTTCCCAAACAGGACCAGTTCATGCCCCTATTTTTGTGATGGCAGTTGAAGTTAATGGACAGATGTTTGAGGGATCTGGCCCTACAAAAAAGAAAGCAAAGCTTCATGCTGCTGAGAAGGCTCTAAGATCTTTTGTTCAGTTTCCAAATGCCTCTGAAGCACATCTAGCAATGGGAAGGACTCTCTCTGTAAACACAGACTTTACATCTGACCAAGCAGACTTCCCAGATACGCTTTTCAATGGATTTGAAACTCCAGTTCAGTCTGACAATTCCTTCTATTTAGGATCCAATGGAGATGGATCCTTTAGCTCCAGTGGTGACTACAGTCTGTCAGCATCCACTGTGGCTAGTAATCTTATCCAGTCACCCCTTCCCACACCATCACCATATCCATCCACAAGTGGAAAGAACCCTGTAATGATTTTGAATGAGCTCAGGCCAGGGTTAAAGTATGAGTTTCTTTCAGAAAGTGGAGAAAGTCATGCTAAGAACTTTGTGATGGCAGTGGCAGTGGATGGGCAAACGTTTGAAGGATCAGGAAGGAACAAAAAGCTTGCAAAGGCTCGGGCTGCTCAATCAGCTCTTGCATCTTTATTTAACATGCAGCTGGACCAGACACCCTCTCGCCAGCCCATTCCCAGTGAGGGGCTCCAGTTACATTTACCACAGGTGAGACATCTGTGCATTTTTAATATGTTTAGATAATTATCAAGAATATATAAGATACTATTTTTTAAAGATATGAAAGAATATTTGTGAAGGTAATATTGTTTGTTTCATCAAATGATTTCTTCACTAATGACTTCTGACAATTGTATGGACTAATTATACTCAGGGAGGAGATAACAGGTTGTTCGTTCTTCCAATTATAATTACATGTCATGGAATGTAATACAAATCCCAGTTTAGTGAGATTTATTATACAGTTGTTGTGTTCAGGAAAGTTCAGAAAATTGTTTTTTTCTCTTACTATGGGTGGAGCCTGGATTGTGAATTTAAGTCAGGATTTGCTGCTCCAGGTTATTTGATTACCTGATAAAAATCACTCTTAGCTGAAAACTGACATTTTCAACATGAAAGGTGCTGAATTGTGAATGTCAAGGACAGATTAACATGTGAGGGGAAACCAGGCTAATGCAGTAGTCTCTTATTTTGAATATTTGAATTAAAGACAAACTTTCAACAAAAACTTGGACATGTTGAGTCTAAAAGGATTATGCCATATTCTGCTACAGTACTTGAAATGAAATTTTAGATGTAATCTAAATATTTTAACCCAGTTACTAATGATATATCCTAAGTATTGAGCATACCAAAAGTAATCCAGGAACTTTAAGTAGCTGGAAACAGTAATATTGTTGAGTTTTTAATAAGGAAACACATCGGTCATACAGAAGTGACACTTTTCATGCTGTCAGGCCCCTGAAAGTGCTCTATAGCCATGATGTAACTAACACATGTGCATGGCTGCAGAACACTTTTAAAATAGCTGATCAAAACTAACCCTGGTCAAATGGGGTATAACGTTAAGGCATTCTAAAATAGAGCACCTTAGGGAATGTGTGTTCCTGCCAGGGTACTTTTCTCATGGAGGAGGCAGGACTGTCAGGGGGAGGGAGGGGAAAGGGGCGTGAGCTCCCAGCTGCTTTGAATGGCCAGGGTTGGGGATGGGTACCTGGGGGGACTCACTTTGCAGGTCCCCCCAGGTACCCTAGCTCAGGTATTGTGGGGGAGCTGGGCCAGGCTCACGAAATGAGGGGGCTCTGTTCCCTCCCCCTCTCCACCTCTGGGCATTCAAAGCAGCTGGGACCAGCCAGTACAGAGCTCCCAGCTGCTGAATGGCCAGAGCTGGTGTGTGGGGGGGTGGGGAATGGAGTTCCTTCACCTTGCCCAGCCTGGATCCCCCCAGTACCCCAGGTGGGGTAGCTAGAGAGGCCTGTGAGATGAAGGGACTGCGTTCCTGCCTCCATGCCCCTCAGCTCTGGCCATTCAGTGGCCAGCAGCTCCTCTCCCTCCTTTCTTCCTTCCCTCGCTGAAAGCCCCAGAGCTCAGGAGAGTGGGGGCTGGGGACAGGAGCAGTTCGGCAACTTCCTTGGAGGCTGCTGGAGTGCCCCCACCCCTTGGCCAGGGCTGGTCCAGGCAGGCTACACGCTCCACCCCCAACCCAACAGGCAGATGTCTGTTGGGGGGTGCGCTAACGGCTATAGGCAGTGGTAACAGAGTTTTCAGTTCTGGAAACTAAAAATTCTACTATTTTTTCTACAGAATCTCCTACCTGTCAGGGTAATTCCCTAAAACAGTTTTTGAAAATATCAAATTGCCTTCCTTTAGAAAAGGTAAATTAAGTCTTTAGAAACTGTATAGTAAGGTTGCAGGTAGGTCTGAAACAGAGACTTCCTGAATATGTCTGGGGTGGATCCAGGGGGGTTGCAGTAGTGTGGACGCACCCCTTTTCAGTCATTCACATCATGGGAGCAGCAGCTGGGGACTTTTTTTTTAAGTCCCCAGAACAAGTAAGAATTTCCCCTTCCCTTCCTGTCTGTGCTCAGCTGCGCCTTCCCTCCCCTCTCCTCCCTTTCCCACCCCCTGCTGCCTCTGCCGGTGTCCTTGACAGACCCAAGGCATTGTGCTTCAGAGCCACTCCTGCCCCACTCCACCTGGGCTCTCTATGAAGCCAAGTTCAGCCAGGCACAGGGGCAGCAATGGGTGGGTCCATCCTCTCTGCCTGGTCTCCTCAGTATTCCCAGCCAGCCTTGGAGCAGGTGCTGGGGAAAGGAACCCGTGCATTGCTGCAGTCTCTGGCTCAGCCTGGCTGGAAAAGAGCAAGAATAGCTCCGGAGTTCCCTCCACCTGCCCCCAGTCAGCTGGGGACTGTAATGGTAGAGAGCAGGGGAGGAGGAAAGGGGAGGGAATGTGCCACTGAGCATAGACGGAAAGGGACGGGGGAAGAAAGGTTCTTATGCGTTTGGGAGATGGAAGAAAGGCCCTTGTTACTGCTCCTGCCACCCAGTCTGCCCTATGGTATGTGGGAGTAGAGGCTGGGAGCCAGGATGCAGCCTCTCCTGCAGTGCAGGTTACTACTCCTACACCCCCCTTTCTTAAATCCTGGATCTGCCACTCGGTACATCTTGGCTTCCTTTTCTACTAAGAAGATAAAGGAAGAAGCTGGAATAGTCTGCCCATAGAATAAATTGAGAAACAAAGGAATAGACAAATCAAGGACCAAGGAAAGTTTTTTTACAATTTGATATTTTTTTAATTGTATACTTTTTAATATGTGTAACCAGTATGAATAAAAATCAGTGGTATCAGAAGATAACAAGGAGTAAATGCTAATAATGGTCCAAGAATATTTAGTTTTCCCCTTATTTCAGTTTTGGATGTAGGCTAATCTTGTTGAAACAGAATTGAATACAAATGTTTGAAGAGACCTTAACAAATATTTAGCTGTACCTTAGCACTAGCAGTAATCAACCTTTAAGGTATAGAAAATGTAATTGAAAGTTTCCAGGCTGAGAAGATGTAAAGATGATACTGTCCTTCCCCTCTCCCTCCCCAGTAGAACAACATATGTGAGGCATTTTACCCATGTTTCTGCTTTTGAAAAACGTGTGCATTTTCTATGTTAAAAAGTTTTAGATGCACTTTTGACAGATTACTCAAATACTACTATGAAATGGGCTGGGTGGCACCTTAGAGATTTTTGTTAAATAGTTATATAAAGTGTACTGTGCCTAATTCATCTGATCTTTTACATATACTATTATAAAGCCTGGGAACAGGGAAGGTGAATGTGAGATCACCGTAGGACCATACTAATGGGCATGGATGGATTCCTTTTCTCAGCTAGGGATCAGAGCAGCCATGCAGGGAAGCTATGGCTTCTGTTACTGAATGTCACAGGG